GTGCTTGCACCTGGTATGCCGTTTGGCGAACGTAGTCACACAGGGGAGGAACTTCTGAGTGTAATGAACAGAGAAATCGACAGATGGCTGTCTTCCGCGCAAACTGAAAATCGGAACCATGTTGACCGACAACGGAAAGAACATGGTGTCTGCTCTGCGTCAAGGAAGGTTTGTGCCATGCGCCATGCATGGCTCACGTGTTCAATCTGTTGTCAAGCGGTTCCTAAAATCCCACCATCCCACTGCAAGACATCCTTAAAATGTCACGTAAACTTTAAATAATAAGGGATCCTCCTGCGCTCATGGAATAATTGACAAAATACAGCTGCTGTCACTTAGCTGATACCAATAAGTGCAAAATAAAATTAAAAAATTAGTGAAGCGCTGTGTATCACATGAATACAATCATGTATCTCCATATACAGGCAGTCCCCGGGTTACGTAACAAGAAGGGACAGGGAGGACCAGCAACTTAGGTTTGTTCATAAGTGACGAATTTGTTTCATAAGTTGAATCAGGCACTTTTATAAGCACTAACTACTAACCAAACGACAGGATATTAGATAGATTACGTTTTTGTAATAAGGTTACAGAAAGCAGTAAAACCTCAAGAGGCTCTAAACTGGTGTTTTGCATAAGAACTGCAGCTTGGACACATGTTTGCCTTAACATATTTAACTTTTATGTGCATTTAAATGTTATTATTGCAGGGTAAAAATACACTGTACTGTAATGTACTGTATGAGAGAACTCTGCTCTCCTTTACACAGCACACGCTGCCCCCTCTACATCCCCCCTGCACAGACGGAGGATCACTTCAGTGAGCAGCCTGACAGCCTCTCCTTTCCTCTCCCCGGAGGTGCAGACAGACAGTCTTAAATCACTTTGGAGATAGTGGGCAGACACTGCTAGCCCCCACAAGTAACGAGCAATGGATGTCTCTGTCTCTTATGTCTCTCTGATGTCTCTTATCAGCTAGTCTCTTATCAGCTTGCTGCACAAGAATGCTGACAGCTTGACTTCCGGTCCCGAGGGAAGTGTACGTAAGTATGAGTATTACGTAAGCCGAATGTACTTAACTCGGGGACTGCCTGTAGTGTAATTATAAATCAAAGTGACCACTATATATAATAAATGTGTGTTGACTCCCTCTAGTGAAAAGAAAAAATAGTGTCAACCAAAATAGCTAAATAACACACATTAGGAAACTAAATATATAGTGCATAAATCAAATATAATGAACAGAATATATATACGTGAAAACAGAATATTGGCCACATACAATGGTGTCTAAATTATACATAAATGATATATGCCATAGGTGAACAAGACAATATCAAAGGTGAAAAAAATATTCCATGCATGTGACTGTGCTTTAAGCTGGAACACACACGTGATCTCCACTTCTAAGTGCAAGTACTCTCCTTCAAATGGCAGCAATGCCTGCTCACCTCCCTTCCTCGACCCACACAGGGCCTCAAAGCAGTTACCACCTCAGTGGTGTATTCCTCTGGCAGACTCCTTATTCCTCCTCCTCTCTTATGCAACTCATAAAAAGACAAGAAAGCCTTCCATAGTGTAGTAAATTTAATAGGCAAAGTTAAAAATTACAAAGTTTTCCACTCACATGCTCCTTTCCATAAAAAAGCGTTTTTCCCAGCCTGTGGGTAGATATGCATGCACCTGGGGGAATCCAATATGGCCACTGTGTCCGGACATACGTCACCAGGAAGTAGACAAACCGACGCGTAGCGTCACGTGCGTCGTGACTTCATCATCAACCCTGATGAAGTCACGACGCACGTGACGCTACGCGTCGGTTTGTCTACTTCCTGGTGACGTATGTCCGGACACAGTGGCCATATTGGATTCCCCCAGGTGCATGCATATCTACCCACAGGCTGGGAAAAACGCTTTTTTATGGAAAGGAGCATGTGAGTGGAAAACTTTGTAATTTTTAACTTTGCCTATTAAATTTACTACACTATGGAAGGCTTTCTTGTCTTTTTATGAGTTGCATAAGAGAGGAGGAGGAATAAGGAGTCTGCCAGAGGAATACACCACTGAGGTGGTAACTGCTTTGAGGCCCTGTGTGGGTCGAGGAAGGGAGGTGAGCAGGCATTGCTGCCATTTGAAGGAGAGTACTTGCACTTAGAAGTGGAGATCACGTGTGTGTTCCAGCTTAAAGCACAGTCTCATGCATGGAATATTTTTTTCACCTTTGATATTGTCTTGTTCACCTATGGCATATATCATTTATGTATAATTTAGACACCATTGTATGTGGCCAATATTCTGTTTTCACGTATATATATTCTGTTCATTATATTTGATTTATGCACTATATATTTAGTTTCCTAATGTGTGTTATTTAGCTATTTTGGTTGACACTATTTTTCTTTTCACTAGAGGGAGTCAACACACATTTATTATATATAGTGGTCACTTTGATTTATAATTACACTATATGGAGATACATGATTGTATTCATGTGATACAAGCGCTTCACTAATTTTTAATTTTATTTTGCACGTAAACTTTGCATGCATTTCAGCCATTCCTAGACCGCAAAGCACACCCTCCTTGAGCTGCAGCGGCAGAATGGAATTCCACAGCATCGCCTGATCTGCGACGTTGCAACAAGGTGGAATTCAACCCTACACATGTTAGACCGCCTTTACGAGCAGCGAAAGGCCATCACCGATTTCCTGATGTTACAAGCGGATAAAGGTACTCCCCTGTGTAACTTCGATGTCAGCCATTGGCAGCTCATGCGTGACACCTGCCGCTTGCTCAGGCCCTTTGAGGAGGCCACGCTATTCGTGAGTCGGCAGGACTATGGGATGAACGACGTCATTCCTCTGTTGCACGTCCTGGAACAAATGCTGTTAACAATGGCTGGTCAGGGTGCGGTAGACGTGGCGCACAGATCTCAACGCCACATGACCCCTGTGGGGGCAGGGCAGGAAGAAGAGGAGGAGGTAGAGGAGGACATTTGTGCTCAGGAATTATTGAGTGAAATGGGTGGTTTTTCCACTCAGCGGACAGGAGTGGAGGAGCAGGAGCATCTGGGAGAGGAGGAGGAGACAGAGGACCCAGAGACGCACCGTGGCAGTATGCTGTAGAGATGGAGGCAGGGAGTCCCTCGCATTCCTTGGCACAAATGGCCCATAGCATGCTCGGTTGCTTGCGTAGCGACAGCCGAATAATAACCATCAGACAGAGAGATGACTTTTGGCTGTCCACCTTGTTGGACCCTCGCTACCATTCAAAAATGGTGGCCTTTTTCACACCTGCTGAGAGGGAGGCCAAATTACGTACTATAAAAACCACCTATGAAGTCAGTTGGTCTCTGCCTTTCTGCGCCAACGTCCATCCTCAGACACTGTGGGCCCTGTGCGCTCGCGTTCCGCTGCCATGGCAGCAGGGGAGGGGTGGGGGGTGGTAGGAGCAGTGGCAGCTCCACCAGCAGCGGCTGCCTCAGTCTGCAGTCGATGATGAGTAGCTTTCTTCACCAGCGCAGTGAGGAAACTACTAACCAGCCGCAGCAGCAGCAGCATCAGGTGGACCTGGAGCAGGACCTCAAACAACAGGCTTGGGCCTACTTGGACAGCACCCTGCCAACCGAGGTAGACAATCCCCTTGACTACTGGGCAACGAAACTTGACCTTTGGCCCCAACTAGCTGAATTTGCCCTTGAAAGGCTGTCATGCCCGGCCAGTAGCGTGGCATCGGAGCGCGTGTTTAGTGCGGCAGGAGGTATTGTAACTCCGCGGAGGACACGACTGTCCACCCAAAGTGTGGAGAGACTCACGTTTGTGAAAATGAATCAGGCGTGGATTAGTCTGGATTTCAAACCACCAGTTCCTGACACAACTGACTAAATCCGCCATGAATCATGCCACAAACATGTGCCACTTTCAGGTCTCCTCACACACTGCTGGTGTGTTCCATTTTTTGTCATAGGGTGCTGGCAGATTACGGGCCTCCCATAGCTGCTGCCAGGCCCCTAATCTGCCATGGGCCCCTGTACCGCCTCCTCATGCTGCTGCCAGGTCCACAGTCTCTCATGGGTCCCTGTACGGCCTCCCATTGCTGCTGTCTCCATCGCCACACTCTGCCATGTGCCACTTTCAGGTCTCCTCACACTGCTGGTGTGTTACATTTTTTGTCATAGGGTGCTGGCAGATTACGGGCCTCACATAGCTGCTGCCAGGCCCCTAATCTGCCATGGGGCCCCTATACCGCCTCCTCATGCTGCTGCCAGGTCCAGAGTCTCTCATGCCATGTGCCACTTTCAGGTCTCCTCACACTGCTGGTGTGTTCAATTTTTTGACATAGGGTGCTGGCAGATTATGGGCCTCCCATAGCTGCTGCCAGGCCCCTAATCTGCCATGGGCCTATACCGCCTCCTCATGCTGCTGCCAGGTCCACAGTCTCTCATGGGTCCCTGTACGGCCTCCCATTGCTGCTGTCTCCATCGCCACACTCTGCCATGTGCCACTTTCAGGTCTCCTCACACACTGCTGGTGTGTTCAATTTTTTGACATAGGGTGCTGGCAGATTACGGGCCTCCCATAGCTGCTGCCAGGCCCCTAATCTGCCAAGGGCCCCTATACCGCCTCCTCATGCTGCTGCCAGGTCCACAGTCTCTCATGGGTCCCTGTACGGCCTCCCATTGCTGCTGTCTCCATCGCCACACTCTGCCCATGTGCCACTTTCAGGTCTCCTCACACTGCTGGTGTGTTACATTTATTGTCATAGGGTGCTGGCAGATTACGGGCCTCACACAGCTGCTGCCAGGCCCCCTAATCTGCCATGGGCCCCTATACCGCCTCCTGCTGCTGCCAGGTCCAGAGTCTCTCATGCCATGTGCCACTTTCAGGTCTCCTCACACTGCTGGTGTGTTCAATTTTTTGACATAGGGTGCTGGCAGATTACGGGCCTCCCATAGCTGCTGCCAGGCCCCTAATCTGCCATGGGGCCCCTATACCGCCTCCTCATGCTGCTGCCAGGTCCACAGTCTCTCATGGGTCCCTGTACGGCCTCCCATTGCTGCTGTCTCCATCGCCACACTCTGCCATGTGCCACTTTTTCAGGTCTCCTCACACACTGCTGGTGTGTTCAATTTTTTGACATAGGGTGCTGGCAGATTACGGGCCTCCCATAGCTGCTGCCAGGCCCCTAATCTGCCATGGGCCCCTATACCGCCTCCTCATGCTGCTGCCAGGTCCAGAGTCTCTCATGCCATGTGCCACTTTCAGGTCTCCTCACACTGCTGGTGTGTTCAATTTTTTGACATAGGGTGCTGGCAGATTACGGGCCTCCCATAGCTGCTGCCAGGCCCCTAATCTGCCATGGGCCCCTATACCGCCTCCTCATGCTGCTGCCAGGTCCACAGTCTCTCATGGGTCCCTGTACGGCCTCCCATTTGCTGCTGTCTCCATCGCCACACTCTGCCATGTGCCACTTTCAGGTCTCCTCACACTGCTGGTGTGTGTTCATTTTTTGACATAGGGTGCTGGCAGATTACGGGCCTCCCATAGCTGCTGCCAGGCCCCTAATCTGCCATGGGCCCCTATACCGCCTCCTCATGCTGCTGCCAGGTCCACAGTCTCTCATGGGTCCCTGTACGGCCTCCCATTGCTGCTGTCTCCATCGCCACACTCTGCCATGTGCCACTTTCAGGTCTCCTCACACTGCTGGTGTGTTACATTTTTTGTCATAGGGTGCTGGCAGATTACGGGCCTCACATAGCTGCTGCCAGGCCCCTAATCTGCCATGGGCCCCTATACCGCCTCCTCATGCTGCTGCCAAGTCCAGAGTGTGTCATGGGTCCCTGTACGGCCTCCCATTGCTGCTGTCTCCATCGCCACACTCTGCCATGTGCCACTTTGAGGTCTCCTCACACTGCTGGTGTGTTCAATTTTTTGACATAGGGTGCTGGCAGATTACGGGCCTCCCATTGCTGCTGCCAGGCACGTAATCTGCCATGGGCCCCCGTACCGACTCCTCATGCTGTGACGTTGCAACAAGGTGGAATTCAACCCTACATATGTTAGACCGCCTTTACGAACAGCGAAAGGCCATCACAGATTTCCTGATGTTAAAAGCGGATAAAGGTACTCCCTGTGTAACTTAGATGTCAGCCATTGGCAGCTCATGCGTGACACCTGCGCTTGCTCAGGCCCTTTGAGGAGGCCCACGCTATTCGTGAGTCGGCAGGACTATGGGATGAACGAGGTCAAATCGGCCATGGGCCCCCGTACCGCCTGGTCACGCTGCTGCTGGTCCCACAGTGTGACCTGGGTCCCTGTACGGCCTCCCATTGCTCCCACTCTGCCATGTGCCACTTTGAGGTCTCCTCACACTCCTGCGGTTTTCCATTTTGTCATAGGTTGCTGGCAGATTACAGGCCTCCCATAGGTGCCGCCAGGCCCCAAATCGGCCATGGGCCCCCGTACCGCCTGGTCACGCTGCTGCTGGTCCCACAGTGTGACCTGGGTCCCTGTACGGCCTCCCATTGCTCCCACTCTGCCATGTGCCACTTTGAAGTCTCCTCACACTCCTGCGGTTTTCCATTTTGTCATAGGTTGCTGGCAGATTACAGGCCTCCCATAGGTGCCGCCAGGCCCCAAATTGGCCATGGGCCCCCGTACCGCCTGGTCACGCTGCTGCTGAGCCACACAGTGTGATTTGGGTCCCTGTACCGCCTCCCATTGCTCTCCCCACTCTGCCATGTGCCACTTTGAGGTCTCCTCACACTGCTGGTGTGTTCAATTTTTTGACATAGGGTGCTGGCAGATTACGGGCCTCCCATTGCTGCTGCCAGGCACGTAATCTGCCATGGGCCCCCGTACCGACTCCTCTCATGCTGTGACGTTGCAACAAGGTGGAATTCAACCCTACATATGTTAGACCGCCTTTACGAACAGCGAAAGGCCATCACAGATTTCCTGATGTTAAAAGCGGATAAAGGTACTCCCTGTGTAACTTAGATGTCAGCCATTGGCAGCTCATGCGTGACACCTGCGCTTGCTCAGGCCCTTTGAGGAGGCCACGCTATTCGTGAGTCGGCAGGACTATGGGATGAACGAGGTCAAATCTGCCATGGGCCCCCGTACCGTCTGGTCACGCTGCTGCTGGTCCCACAGTGTGACCTGGGTCCCTGTACCGCCTCCCATTGCTCCCACTCTGCCATGTGCCACTTTGAGGTCTCCTCACACTCCTGCGGTTTTCCATTTTGTCATAGGTTGCTGGCAGATTACAGGCCTCCCATAGGTGCTGCCAGGCCCCAAATCGGCCATGGGCCCCCGTACCGACTGGTCACGCTGCTGCTGGGCCCACAGTGTGACCTGGGTCCCTGTACCGCCTCCCATTGCTCCCACTCTGCCATGTGCCACTTTCAGGTCTCCTCACACTCCTGCTGGTTTCCATTTTGTCATAGGTTGCTGTATGGCCTCCCATTGCTGCTGCCTCCACCGCCACACTGTGGCTCCAAACACTGGTTTTGGCCCCGTGACTGGCCAAAATGAGTGAAGTGTGCGGTGATTCTAAGATCGACGGCACTCATCTGCATGTCATACTGACTGACAGTATTATTTCTCTTCCCCAGCAGACTCCAAGGGCATTTAAATTAAAGGTACAGTGTTCTGCACTAATATTAAGTCTCTCTGAAGCCTAGAAACACCCTTTTTAAGTTAAATTCACAGCGAATATATTCGATTCGAATCGAATATTGTCCACGAATTCGCCGAATCAGTCGAATCGAATTTTTGAATACTTCGCTCATCTCTAGTTATATTTGAACTCAGAATGTGAAATTCATTAAGAAATGGATCCTTTTGTTTCCAAAACTGGCAAAAAATAAAAATTTGTTGAACAGTGTTATAGGCCAATTTCTCTCCTTAACATTGATATCAAGCTGTTAGCAAAAAATCCTCTCGTCACGTCTTAATCTGTGTATTGGTTCTCTAATTCATAACGACAAAGTGGGCTTTATCCCAACTAGACAAGCGGGAGATAACATCAGACGTGCAACTTTTTGGCAAATTTAGCCAGGTCTTGCAATATTCCTGCCTGTTTCCTGTCCTTAGATATCCGGAAAGCATTCGATACAGTTTCATGGCCATACCTCAACTATATTTTGCACCGTTGGGGTTTTGGCCCATACTTTTTTAACCTGGATCTTCTCGCTGTATCGAGAGCCCTCGGCCAGAATTAGGTATCTGGGGCACAGGTCAGTTCAGTTTCCGATCTCTAGAGGCACAAGACAGGGCTGTCCTCTGTCCCCCTTGCTCTTTGCCCTGGCTATAGAGCCTCTGGCCCTCTTAATCAGAGCTAACCCAGATGTCAGAGGACTCGAGATAGGGGGCACACATCATAAGTTATGTCTCTTTGCGGATGACGTCTTGCTCTTTCTCACATCTCCATTGACTTCCTCTCCTTCTCTACTCCGGCTTCTCGAGGCGTTTGGCTCGCTCTCTGGTCTAATAATAAACCCCAATAAATCAACAACACTCAACATTTCTCTCCCCCCTATAGAGCTTACACATCTGAAGCAGATTTTACTATTCCTTTGGTCACAGTGTCATATCCCCTTCTTGGGAATCAAACTGACTCCTAAGTTATCAGACCTTTACGCAGCTAACTACCTTCCAATGCTAAACCATCTTTCTGCTCTTCTGACCAAATGGTCTTCCCTTCCCCTCGGATGGCTAGGCAGAATAGCAGTTATCAAGATGTCAATCCTCCCAAAAATTCTATATCTGTTTAGAGTCCTCCCAGTCCCATTCCCCCCTCAGTACCTCCGCACAGTGCAGCGTCGCATCTTTTCTTATGTATGGGGCAATACTTGTCCTCGTATACCTCGCTCCACCTTATGTCGCCCTAAGCTCAATGGAGGTCTAGGCTTACCCGACATCAGCAAATACTATCAAGCAGCGCATTTAGCCCAATTACCTACTGTAAATATCATGCAACCTTTGAAATCCCTCAATGGGTTGCCCTTGAATCGATAGAATGTGACCCCTTATCTACAGCTATCTTACTCCGGTTGAGGCCAATAGACCGCCGTTCTATAACCAACCCCATCACCTCTCACTTCTTATCCTTGTGGGACAAACTGAAAACCCGTTATCTCCTCCAATCGCTACATAATACTATGCTCTCGTTTCTCCGAAACCCAGCTTTTCCCCCAGCCTGGCAGACACCTCTTTTATTCAAAGCCTGGTCCTCTGCTGATTTGTTCCGTACACATCATTTCCTACAGAGGAATAAGTTTAAATCCTTTGCCTCGCTGAGGGAAACGCATAGCCTCCCAGCTTCCGAGATGTTCAGATACTTACATCTACAACACTTCTACGCCCCCTACGCTACAATAACCAATCAACCAGACGCCATGTCTCTTTTCAAATGAGCGTGTTGCAAAGACCCTCATAGATGTGGGCTTATCTCCTGCCTATACTCACTCTTCACTACTTCGACTACCTCGTCCCTTCTCTGTATACCCATAGGTGGGAAGTGGATTTAGGTAAGAGATTCGACCCATCTGATTGGGACCACATTTGGGCCAACAAAAAATCATCTTCGCAGAACATTGTAGCATTGGAAACGAATTATAAAGTCTTAACTCGATGGTACTAAGTCCCGAGCAGAATCGCAAATTTACCCCTAATTAGGCCTAGCACAAGAGGCTGTATAGACCCACAGAGAAACAACTTAAATAATGGTGGACAACGACGCATTATGTAATTTTCACCATACTATCTAACTTAGCGTATCAATCGCCACATAAAACCAATAATAAAATCAATCACAAAAATTCAACAACAAAAAGGAAACGCCTCAAAAAAAAAACACAGAACTAAACAATATCTTTGTTACAACACAAAGGCGGGCCTGTGTGATCATTAACATTCTAAAAACCCCTTCCATATGGGAGTGATGGAAAAAGCATTTCGTTCATTATATAAATAAAAGGAACAACTACCATATGTACATCGCAAAATAATTAAAACGTATAATGCTTATAGGAAAAATTATGCCCAGTAATAAGTTGGGAACCCCCTCGAACAAATCGCAGAAATTTAATTCAAAAATAAACTAAATCCAACAAAAAAAGGAAAATCAAAATTTGGGAAAACGGTTTACGATGGACATAGAGAGGAAAAGGGGAAAATTCATTGGGAACCAACCATAAACGAAAAGCCCCTTTATCGGTCGCAGAAATATTCCGGAGAAAAAGGGGAGAAAAAAAAGGAGGGGGGGGGGAGGGGAAAAAAAAAGGGGGGGAATCAGGGTGGAGGGGAAAATAGGAAGACAAAAAAAAAAGAGAGGGGAAATAATAAAGGGGGAAAACTATAAAGGGGGGGAGAAAAATGAATATCACAGTGTAAAATAAAGAAGGGGGGACAACAACAAACCCCACAACATAATAAAAAGTTAGAAACAGCTCACACAAAGGGAACAACACACTGACAAGTAAACAAAAAAAACAAAAAAAAAAATCAAGACCACCAATAACAATAGGAAGACACACTCAGGGAAGAAACCATAAATCATGGAAACAAAGGGAATCACAAACTGCCCATGAAAACACCA